TACAGCTGTGCTAATTATCAAGCATTAAGAACAAGCCTGCCCTTAATAGGCCACAGCTGGATCCAGTTAAGAGGGGTATTATAAAAGAGCAGGTTGGCTGGTGGTGAGGAGAAATGGAGTTTGTTGGCTGTGCTGAGAAGAAGGAGCCAGTGCTGTGAGGAGCTGCCCCTGAGAAACCACTGAGGAGGTATGGAACCTTTGCAATAGGATGGCACCACAGACGTGCTTCCTCCATTCACTCAGGGAGAATATTCCCTACTTGGTGAGGGTATAGAAAAGCCTTTCCTGTGTTTGGGGCAGCAGAGGGTTGGCTTAACTATGGCCAAGACATGAGCTAAGGGAGAAATACGGAGATGAGGTTCAGTGAGTACTTGCAACAAGAGAATTCCTATGGCTGAATGAGATAACTGAGGTGTTTCTTGCAAAGGTGTGGCCTAAAATCTTGAAGTTTTGTGTATCAATTATTGGTGTGGTTGTACCAGCTGCCATGGTCTAAAAAAAAGTTTGATTCAGATCTCTTCAGCTGTAGAAAAGCATAAAGGAGTGGAGTTAAACATTCTGAGTTCTGAATTCAGATTTCCATTTTCTTCTCTCCACCTGTCCCTGATGTTTGGGAATAATCAGTATTGTAGGCTAGCTATTGCCTAAAGAACTGTTTGATCGTGTGATCTCTCTGGCTGTCCACCAGTCCTTGTAGAGGACTTGAGGGCCTGCTCACAAAATAGACCTCTCAGAGGTATGAAATTTCTGTGGGTTTTTGAAACCTTGTAGCTGACTAAAGAAGGACCCACGTGGTGCCCAACCCTGTAAGAGAGGAGTAGCTGGATGATGTTAGCAGTCATAATTCCTATGTCTGCTGGCATTTGCTTCCAAAAAGAGAGTGTAAGCAGTGGGGAGCTGGTGGGTATGGGTGCAAGAGTGAAGATTAGGAGGTGGGACACCCATATCCTGGTTGGTTTCCCAATTTCTCCTGCTCAGGGTGTATCTTGTTTTCCGTTCTGTTTCCTTTGCTGCCTTTTTCATGTGTTTGTTTGTATCGTCTGTCAAGTTTATCATTATGTGCTCACGCACATAAAGTCTTTATTAGCCGTGTGTATTTTCTATTCTCTGTTCTAATTTTCCTTCCTTCTCGCATTGTTAACAAACTCTGCTGATTGCAGATGTTTCCCATTTGAAAGCACCTGAGACTCAGGTTTTCCAGCCACACAACAGAGGGAGTGCTGGCTCCTTCGTCCAGCCATCCTGAGGTGTATGATGGGGCCATCCCAGACAGGACCCCATTTGAAAGCACCTGAGACTCAGGTTTTCCAGCCACACAACAGAGGGAGTGCTGGAGGGGGCCATCCCAGACAGGATTGCCCATGGAGGAACCTGCCCTCCCAGCCAAACCTGGGCTCACAGTCCTCCTTGAGATCAGTAGAACAGAAGAGAAATAGAAATTGTGGGCTGTGATCTGAGGGGTGGTTATGAATGGGTTGTGCTACTTCTTTTTGAAGTGACTGGCTGAAGGAGAGGTGGATTAGGTCAGTGCACAGACTGAGAAGGTCCCTTGTGCTCTGTGTCCCATTTCAGCTGCTGTTAAAAGCCTTTGGATGGTGGATAGATGTTGGCCATCTCTGCTTCCCAGCAGCTTGGCTTGACTTGGCCCTACACTGACAATCACATCCAAGAACATATCACCCCACTGGCTCTGAAGGTCACTGCTCTCACCCCCATGAGGAGTGAAGATGGTGTAAAAAGAATTTCAGTGCTTTGCGCTGGTTTGACCAAGTCAAACTGCTCTACTGACTGATACCTTCTAGAGAAGGGCCCAGCTTGCTCCTGAGAGCCATTTCTGAAATCATATTGAGCAGTGCAAGACCACGGAATGGTGTGGACTTGTATCTGTGTTGTGTCTGGGCATTGTGAGCACCCTTTCCTTTTGGGCAGTGGTCAGAAGAATGTTTCCGCACCCACAGCTCTTGAAATGCTGCCTAATAAATCCTTCCCTAGAGAGTTTTCTAAGAGATTATTCTGCCTTGGACAGGGGAGTGAGTAAATTACCACCTTTTGTGGTCCTTTAATCTTCACACTCTTTCCAGAATATTAGTTTAAGGGATGCAGGTAAAGCATTTGCGCTGTTCACGTGGGACAGTGTCCTCTCTCCTTCCTACTCCAGAAAATCCCCTGTGTTTTTTCAGTATTCTTCTTCAGCAGGGATGAGAGTTCCTTTTCTGGAATTGTTGTTTGAACTTCAGTGGCTACAAAAGTGTAAATCGCCCCTCTTTCATGGGGGATAAATCTTTAAACTGGGAAACCAAACTTAAGGACATCTTCTGCTGGTTCCCTGTTCTTCACTGGCTCCCAGTTTGTCATTTTGCTGCCTGGTCTTCCTGCTGCTTGTACCAATAGACAGAGGACCTTTTGGCCAATGTCCCAGAATTGTTCCACAAGAAGGGTAGCACCAGGGAAAGTAATAGATGGATGCAGAGCCTGCAGATGACAGCTTCAAAATGCTCAATCAGTGTGCTTGGGGCAGTCCTTTCTGAATGGGCAGGGATTTGCAGATCAGATCCCAAAGCCTATCCCATGGGAGAAAGTGCCAAGGCTCCCATAAACCAAGTGGGCAGGAGGGCTGGAGTCCCCCATGGTGAGTGGCACTGACAAGTGACCAAAGGAAGATCCTGGTGACTTGACCTTAATACAGCAGGGAGGAGGAGGTGGCAGGGAAAGATCTGGTTCATGCCAAAGCAGCCTTTTCATCTGGTAGCTTAGGTCAAGCCTCTAAAGGGGGGAAATGATACCTTAAGTTTTAGATTTTATATTTTTCAGATTCTGTGCTTCTTCAGTGTGTAACTCTGAGGTTCATATTGAGCGTTGGCGAGCTCTCTTCACAGGGCAGGCAGGCAGAACAATCCTTTCCCAGCTTGTCCAAGGACAGCTGTTACAAGCTCCAGGCCCAAAAAATACAAACAATGGTGAACTGAAGAGAGAAAAACGAGAGGATGGGACTTCATATCCTGAAGCTATAACTGAACAATTAACTCCAATATGCAAATAGACCAGAACTTATAAAAAGTGAGAGACCCTGTGAGCTGCTGTCCATTTTGGGTTTATCTTGGGTGCAGCTCTGGCTGGGCTCTTGTGCTGCCCAAGGTGGATCAATTGAGGCCTCCTAATAAATCCCTGATTTATTGTTTAGCTCTGTCTGGCCTCTGTTCTAGGTCAGCCTTCTCAAGGCATCAGTTCACTGTGTTCTGCCAGGGTGTGCTTTCCTTCTCTAATTGTGTACAGCTCTTCCCACTTGGAAAGCTGCTCTGAGCATCAGGCAACATCCTGCTTTGTTACAGTGTCATTTTCAGGCTGCACCACCCCGGCTGAGGCAGAGGATGTGTGTGTCGTGTCTCATCTGCTCAGCTGCAGAGTCGTTCAGGGGCAGCTTCCACTTGTGCTGATCCTCTTTGAGCCATGGATTGGGCTGCAGCCCTGGAAAAGCATCACTTATCCCTCAGCATTGCAGCCACTGGAGTAGTGAGGGTGGGTACAAGCCCTGGAGGAGACGTCACTGAAAGCTTCCACAAATCACAAGATCTAGTTCTACTGCTTCATATAATTAGTGATTAAAATGAGTAAAAACAAAGCAGCAATTTTCTTATTGATCCCTCAGCAAATAGCTCTGTCTGTTTTCTTCTGTATTGTTTCTTCCTATTAAATAGCCTTGAATAAGAAATGTCAGTCAAATGAATTTAGATTCCTGGTGCTTCAGACAGAAATCAAAGCAGGATTGAAAGAGGAACGATAATTAGAGAGAGGAATTCCACCTCCACACACTTCTTGCCTTGCTCAAGGAGTGCTGATTTTATCTAAATTGCCAAAGCCATGAGCAAATGAGAGGTGATGGGAATTATAGACTGCAGATGCTGAGACAAAGCAAGAGAAGCTTTAATTAGTGCATTTTAAGGTAGAAATAAATTTCCTCGGAATAAATTATTCTACTCGAGACACATGGAGCTTCTTAGAGGTGAACTGAAGAGCTTTTTACAAGCCACAAACAAGGCTCACAGGTCATATCTATCTTGTAGAAATGAGTGACCCAGCCCTGAGGTCTGAAATACCTCAGGATGAATCCTTCTTTCTTTGCATCCCACTTTATTTTCTAATATTGAGTAATATCTTTTTAATATTGAGGAATTCCCACAGCTGCAGATTCACATAATGTAGAATTTTTCCCAATGCCCACATTTACTCACTGAAATGTTAGTGATGGATGCTGAGAAACTGGGAGTTACATATCGAACCTACTGGTACTGAAAGGAAGTTATTTTCCTTTCAATTCTCTCTTATTCTCCTTCCTTTGCTCTCTTGCCATGATTTCATGACACGAGCACACACATAAGTCACTGGGAACCTTAAAACACTGACCTTTCTATGTTTCCAGCAGATTTTCACAGCTTTTTAAAGGTTGAGACAGTAACAACTCTGTGCAATTTGGAGGTGGATAGAGTTTCCTGGCCAAACTGATGATGCTGAAACAAAACCATTTAACTGGGTGCTTCAATTCTGAATTCCCTGACTCAGCAGAATTACTCCGTCTCTTAATTATTTACGTATTTTATGAGAGCCTGTTGCTCACAAACAAAAATTCCTGGAACGAGCCACCACTCAGGACCTTCCACAAATCCTGCTCTTCTTCTGCCACACGTGTAAGGCAAAACAGATGGGTACAGCAAGTTACAACCTAGAGGCTGCAGCTCAGGGGTTTTTTTGGCAAAGGGACCTAAAATCCTAAAAGACATTACACTCTGCGTGGGAAAACAATGCTGAGCTCTCTGGTTTTCCTGATGTTGCGGTTTCCTGTTTCAGCTGTTGCTCTTTGTGCCAGAGGTTAACTTGTATCAGCCATGATGAATGGCTCAGTCAAGGGGTATTGAACGCTGATGTGTTTATCTTGTGGCAAGATGGGAATGTTGCAAACTTGTGAGCTGCGGGAGGCAACGGGCTAATTTGAGATTTGTTCCTAGCCCTCGCCATGCGAATGGTGTCGCTGCGAGCCCAGCAATGAAGTTCACTGTGTTGTAGCAGACTGCGCCGTCCCCGAGTGCGTCAACCCGGTCTATGAGCCAGAGCAGTGTTGTCCTGTCTGCAAAAATGGTAAGAAAGAACCGTGTTGGCTTTAACAGAGATATAAAGGAACCTTTTGATTGAAATGCTGTTACTGAGGTTTGCTTCCATCCACATGGGCTGGTCCTTCTCCTGGTGTTGGACTGAAAATTTAAGCTGCCCTTCCTGGCCTGTGTCTTCTCCTTGAAGGAGATGGAATGGCTGGCTTGACAAAGGTTTTATGGGATTGAGTCCTGATGTCAGTGATTGTTGTTTCATTTCTTTGTTATTTTCTCAAAATTAGTCTAACAGAGAATCAAATACATGAGAAAAGAGAGGGCCTTTGTCCCTGCATTAACAAACCAATGGTTATTGTCTAAGGCCAAGGGAAAACTCACCAAAATCGATGGCAGAACTTTTCCTGTGGCTAGTAAGACACGCACCAAGCCCAGAACATTGTTAGTTGTGTGCTGGAGTCTCTGTGTAGCACTGGCCCTCGTTGTCCTGCTGAGGTGATTCCATGGATTAGATTCATCAATACTTTCAAGGAATGTTTTGAAATGACTGAAAGTACCTCTTTGGAAAATAAATCTGTTTCCAAAAAGGCCTCCTGGGTCTTGTACCACAGCCTGTACTCACATACGTCTGTGAAAAAGCACCTTTCTCCTAATGTAGATGTGAAGACAGATTAAAAGGTAAGGCAGCTGCACATAAAGCTTTTCACAGCTTTCTAAACATGTAAGAAATCGCTACTTGGATTCATCTCCTTGTGTTTAGAATTCACTATCCGTATATATTTGCTCTTACATACATCACTGCTGCTGGATAAGAGTAATGGTTGCTTTTGTACCTAAATGAAAATGTTGGTAAAGAAATAACATTTTCAACACATTTTCTGCTCTGTAAGACAGAGTAAAGGCAAAGAGTTGGAAACATAAAATACTTTTACTGAAGGAACTTGAAGAATTAAAAAATGTTTGGAAAATTACACCATAAATATTACTTGAAATCCTGAGGTTTGTATCTGTATTTTTGTTCCAAAATATTTTATCAGATATTCATTGAGTTTTGTGTTTCTGTTGGAAAGCAGAATATGTTCATAGGAAATCTCACTGGTTTGTTTTTATTGCTGAAGTTCAGAGGAGAGGTTTGTTACCCAGCTCTTTGCACCACCTTTGAGTACAGCTGTGGTTGGGTGTTTCTCATCACACTCACCAAGCCTGGTGTCCTGGGTTGGTGACACAGGGGTACGACTGGCTGTCCCCAGGCCTGTCACTGAGCTCAGACCCACTGACACCCCAGCAAACACCTCTGGAGCTTGTGTGGTCTCTTTGTTCCTGTCACGTGTGGGGCACCATCCCAAATCCCCTCATTTACAGAGGCAGCACATCCCACCTGTGTCACATCAACCCACCTGTGAGCATCCCTGAGGCACCCCAGGCTCTGAGGGGCTTTCACAGCTCCAGGAGCTGCTGGATTTCCCCACCAGGGCCATTTCCCTCAGGACTCTCAGGATTTCCTCTGGTCTGGTCTAGTTGGGAAGATCCCGAGGTGTGTCTCTGTTAAAAATCTCTTTTCCCCAACCCAGCAGCCGAAGAAGGAAACGAGAAGTCTTCGGTTCACGTTCTGCCTGCCAGGGCGTTGAGACATCCAGGGCATGCCGAGAGATGTCCTGGGTTCCGACACAGGATCACGTGCTCCCTCTGGGGGGTTGGTGGCATTCTGTGATGCAGTCCCCGACACCCCTGGTGACCAGGGCTGAGAGGCATCTCTCTTCCCAGAACAGCGTGCCCCAAACACCAGGGGAAAGGGAAAGAGCAGCTCCTGCTGGTGGGGACAAGGACAGCAGGAGAGGAGGAAGATCAGCTGTGTGCTGAATGGACTGTGGGACACAGTGAGGTCATTGGAACCCTCACAGGGAAACCAGGAGCCTTCATCCGTGGTTTTACCAAATCTCTCCACTCATCTCTTTGCTCATCTCTTGGGGATACACATAAAGCTCTACATCTGAGGCCTGTTTTAGGCAGGGATGTATTCTCATCATCCCTTTCAGAGCAGCCTGGATGCTTTGGGAATCCTGGTCTCTGGGGATTGCAGCACAGCTCAGCCAGTGGAGGGTGGTGGCTGTTCCTTGGGATGGAGGAGCATGTCTGCATGGGGGTGCTGTGCGGGGAGCTGAACCCCTCCTGCTGCCCCAGCCTGGCTGCAGGGATGGAGACCCCTCAGCTGGAAGGGCTTTCTGCTCCTCCTGCTGCTCTGGCTTATAGCTGGGCCAAGCTGGCAGTTTTGGCTGTGTCTTCACAATGTAATGCAGTGATTCCCACAGTGATAGAAATTGGTAGGCACCAAGGCAGCTCCTGTGTCGTGGGGACTCTGATGATCAGAGTTTGTTACTGCTCTTGGATGTGGCTGAGTGTGGCACACACCTTTCTCTTACAGTCTGGAGATTCAAGTGGGAGTAGCAGCCATTCCTGTGTCCCTTCCCATCTGAATCCCTCTGACACATCCTAATGAATGAGGACCACAGTGTTTGCAGCTCTCTGTTCATCTTGAGACCAAGATTTTGTCTTTCAGCTCTCCACTTCAGCCAGTCAATTAAAGCTCAGTTTCACAAATGCATGAAGATAACACAAGCTGACAGACTCACTTAAATGACTGAAACACCCCTTTTTAAATTTATTTTTTTCCTTCCATTCAGTAGCTTTTGTCTTCTGCCGAAGTGGTGAAGACACAGTGCCGTGTTCTGGTGTGATGAAAATGTTTTAGTCCCTGTGGTTGTAATTTCAGACTGACAAACAGAAGAGCTCAAGGAATACAGTTACTGTGGGGGAGTAATCTCTGTGGTGCAAATACTCAATTCAAAAGCTACCCCTTAAAATTTTGCTTAGGGAAATCCTCATTTTAGGTTAAACACAGCCCTGCATCATTTGCTGCGCTCTGCTAGGAGCATGGCTTGCCTGCTTGTTTAGCTGTTGCTGCTATTAATGAGAGAATAATTCTCTTTCCATAAAGCCAGGTAGATTTTCATAATCTTATTAGCTATGTTCTGCCAAGGGCAGAAGTGCTGTGATTCAGTGAGCACTGGAACAGGCTGCCCAGAGCAGCTGTGACTGCCCCATCCCTGGAAGTGTCCAAGGCCACGTTGGACTGGGCTTGGAGCAACCTGGGATAGTGGAAAGTGTCCTGCCTATGGCAGGGGTTGGAAGGGGTTGACCTGTAAGATGCCTTCCAACCCAGACCAGTCTGGAATTCTGTAATTCTGTGATAATGCAAAAATCTGTTGATTCTAACATTCCTGGCCTGAAGATTCATGGAAAGCCAATACCGATTTCTCCCCCATCATTTAAGAGCAGTCTGAACAAATGGCTTTGGAGATTTGTTCCTTCTTGGCCAAAGAAATGAGATTGTTATCTTGTGCCTCACTAACCACAGCAGCTCATTCAAGGCTGGCCCTTCCTGGCAAGGGATACCACATTGCACACGGAGCATGCAGGCTTCACTGGGAGGCTCCAGTCTGGGGGTGAAGGAGGCAGAGGACGTTTTCTCCTTCATGTCCTATCATCCAATTTGTCAGAGTGGATTTTGAGGGCGATGGCTCCAGGTGCTGCGCAGCATTTCTGTCACAGAGATGAAAGGTCACTGGATTTCACGTTTCCTGGTAGTGACAGACTGCAGAATTATGGCCTCGAGTTGTTCTTTCCAGTCCCTGTGACTTCTCCAGACAAAAGTGTGTCACTGCTGTTAACTCTCTCCTCTGCAGGATCTCCAAGTGGCCTGTCACTGTCAGGGTCCAGCTCGTGGTGCCACCACCTCTGTCCCTCCTGCCCCAGGTTCTGCAGCAGTTCTGTGAGAACATCCCTCCACTCTGCCTGTGCCAGAGCCTTTCCAAGCCAAAATTCCCAGTGAGGTCTGCATGCTCCCATGGCCAGGGCTGTAGAGGTGCCTGTGTGGTGTTCCTGGGCCCTTCTCTCCTCACCCTGTGCTCTTCATTCCCAGACCTCTGCTTGTCCCAACCCACCCACTGCTGTGGGGTGAGCCCTGGTATTGGGGTGTGTGCTTTAACTCCCTTTCTGTGCAGCACTTGGAGGTGGCTCTTCCTATTTCCTTCTACCCTTTGGATGTGGCCTGGGAATGGTGCAGGATGCTGGGATGGGGTCATCCCTGCTGCATCACCCCTCACATCGCTTCATCTGGTTTAATCTGTGATCCACATTGAATGGGTTCCTCTGCTTTGCCAGCTCCAAGCAACTCTCACCTACCACAGTGCACAAAGGGAGAAATTCCCTGTGCTTCATTTTGTTGAGGGATAAAAAAAACAAATATTATAAATTTTTGGGTTGGGGTCTGGTTTTGCCTCTAGTTTAATTTTTGTTGTCACCAGTCCTCAACAAAAGAATTTGTTACCCAATGAGCCAGATAAAAGCTAACGTGTCCACAGTGAAATATTTCCTGGCAAGTGTGCTTACTCAGCCTGGGCTTCTGAAGACATTTGTGATGGAATACTGGGCACCAGGAAGACATTTTGTAGATAATCTGTCACTGAGTCTTTAATTAAAGTTTTAAATTATCAGGATTGATACAGATTTCCAAGTAAAGAGGCTGATCCTGCCATCCACACACAGGTAAAAGATCCCTTTGACCTTCAACAGATTTTAACTTGGTAAAATAGCATGTCTTCATACAAAGCTCTTGTGGGTATTTATTATAATGTGGTATAAATATTAATAAATCCCTACAAATATCTTCATATTGGAGGGCATGAGCACAAACGTGAGTAAATAATTTATTTCCATGCATATAAACCCACATGTTACCTAAGCTTCTCTCTTAATTTACTGAAATATAAACTCACTGCTCATTATTTCTCTGTTGGAGTTAATTTGAAATAAGCATTCTGCACCCCAGCCTGATCCTGCTGTAACACAGTGTGTCTTGCTCAGGAACCCCCCAGGGATTTCCCAGCCTGTTGAAGCCTCTCCTTTGGCAAACAAACCCGTGTTACACGTGTCCCTGAGTGAGCTTTGCGTGTCTCTGTGTAGAATAACACCTGG